AACCAATTAAAAAATGCCTTTTCAAAAATGGTCTATGAATCCTTCATGCTAGCTAGAACTTGTGTCAAGTCTGGGTTCTCTCAAACTTTTATGACGGTGCTTAGAGCTCCTATCTACTACTTTTGTCCTATTATAAGTGCAACCATGACTTTCCATGCATAACTTTAATCGTCCGTCTTATTTGAAATTTTTTTATAATTAATATTTTTGTTATTATGAGATGATAAAACATGAGTAGTACTTTATGCGTGACTTATGTTTTTAAATTTTTTTAAAAAAATTTTCAAATAAGACGAACGATGAAATTTGTGCATGGAAAATTATGGTTGCACTTAAAATGGGATGGAGGAAGTATATCAATATCTGTAATAACACTCTTGGACACCTTGTTCTTCTTAATCTTTGAATCCTGCTTACCATATAGATTTGTGAAATATTTCTCACCATGGGTGCGTATAGGACACGGAGGATCATATTTTTCACTTTCTACAGATATTCCATCCAAACAGCTTGCATGGTAGGAATGACCACAGAATAAAACAGCAACAATTGCCAGCTCATGAGCATTCCATGTAGATTGCTCCTTTAATTGCTTTGAACATAGCTTGCATACCTCCTCCTGGCCAGGGGCAAGAGAAGTGGAATGTGGAGCATTTGATCTTGTTCTATTAGTGGTAACATGGCCAAGGAGATCATTGTCAACCGACCACCTCTCTCTTTAAGTTGAAGCCATTGATTCAGAAAATCCTCTGAGATGACTCACCATGTGATCCTCCTGCAATGATATCTTTGCTGTAGACAGAAGGCATGGAGCTCAATGGCCTTCCTTCTTCCAAATAACTCTCATTGAATGACTTGAAAGAGAGGACTTTATTGTCCAAATTTTGCCTACATAGTTGATGACCTGGTGATCGATGTGCTTTCGTCGTTGAATTTTCATCGACGTTAAGAGAACGACTTCTAGAGGATGAAGGATCTGCACTTGTTAGTAGGGGTGGTGTTGAAGGAAGGGACTCTGACATCTTTATGCCTGAAGCAACGATTACAACACTTGGTGATTTGAGAGAACTCGCCTATGAAAGATAATGATTAGTGAAGGAAAGGAAATGAAGTTTAGAAGAAACAGTATTGATTTTACATAGCATTTCAAATATAGATGCGCTAATTTGGAAGATTTAACCCAAAAAAATGAATACTTTTTTTTTCCTGAAACAACCAAAAATGAACACTGCATACCTCAATGGTCGAAGTGCTTGATGTAGATTGAACTGCTGAAAACATGGAGAAGATATTAGTGGGAAAGTTGTTTGTCTCTTTAGGCTGTGTTCTTTGCTCAATGTTCCCAACCCCTCTCCCTCGTGTTCCACGCGCACGCTTTTCAAACTACTAAATGATGCGTTTTTTTAAAAAATTTATATATATACGAAAGTTGCTTAAAAAAATCACATTAATTCATTTTTTAAAAAAAATTAACTAATACTTAATTAATCACACGCTAATTGACCGATCCGTTTTACTTTAGTGAAGTAAGGATTCTAATATGCAACAGAAATACACAGGTTGCTACCCATGATAAACATGGAGAAGAGATATAAGTGGGAAAGTTGTTTTGTCTCTTTTGTGAAGTTATATGTGCACTTTAGTGCAAGGTACGTACACGAACTTTATGATTTTGCACACATCAAAACTAGGAAAAAAGAATGGTTGTCATATCAAGTTAAGAGAATTACTACAACAGACATAATGAACAAATTAAAAACGGTGCCACTCCATTATTAAACTGTGCAAAAATTATAGAGTATAAATAATCACAAATATACATAAAAGTTAATCTAATGAAAGATACACGCGAAGGTTAAGTGTATCTTGTAGCCATGTTAAGATAAGTATGTCACCTTAAGTTCGTGTGTTAAAATTCACGAGGTTCTGAACATAAGGACACCTTCATGTTAAAGTTAAAGTAATTCATCTCCAAAGGCGTGTCAACTACTTTACCTATATACACAAACCACTGAAATTAAGACAGATAAAAAAGATGCTTGCATATTATTTACGTGGGAAAATAGTCTAACTGAAGTGGGGTAAACTATGTGCAGGAAGGCATTTCTAGGTCAAGATATTCCTAAGTATCACTCAAAAGAGAACTTATTCCTCACGCACAACACATGAGCATCTCATTATTTTTGACCCAAATCATTTGGGTCCCGCCTTTTCAAATATCTCCTTTTTTTTCTTGACTGAAATGACATCTTAATGAAACGTAGACAACACGTCAACATAAAATACTATAGATCCATGTGCCATGTAGACGTAACATAGGACAAAACCACTTAGGGAGGTAAATTTATCTGGTTTTAGCAGTTGAGGGATGCTCCATATACGGATTTGTGGTTGAAGGACGTAAATTAAACTAGGCTTAATATTGAGGGGGGTGTAATATGAACTTTTTCCGCGGATGGTTCGTTCACGATACTTCGGCCGTTTTGGGAGCAAATTGGCCCATAAAAACCGAAATCTCTGCATGAGGTTCTAGTGAATATTTGACCGGATGGACCGATGGAGTCGTGGAGTATATGTACAGTTTATACTAGCTCATTTAAAATTGTTTTAAATTACAGCTGTGTATTTTTTTTATAATTTTTGTTTTTCTCTTAAAGTAAAAAGTAGCTGTTTTTCTCTAAATCGATAATTACTTTGTAGGGGTGCAATTGTGATGCCCAACAAGGTCGGGTTCTCACGCCCATCGAGCGCTTACACCTAGCTGGGGAGTGAGTACAGTCTTACCCTCTTCACACCACAATAATTAGCCGATCGATCGAATATCGAATAACGTCATTACGATCTGCTATGGTAATTTCTAGCCATCCAAAATGAGAGCAAAAGCAGTCCTTTTTTCAGCTTTACTACAATTAATAGTACAAAATAGATGTTGCGCCATGTGCAGAGGCGGAGCTAGAACGAAATGAAGGGGGCGCCACTTGTTTAATTTACTCTGCTTTATATCAAGTTTAAGCTAATGCGGGTGTCTAAATTTGTATCGAGGGGGTGCACATATGGTGAAAATAGATTAGGTATAACTACAAATTTTTCTTAACCGGGTTTCTAGGTACCCCTCAATACTCTACCTCCGGCCCTGCCATGTGAAGCCCCGCAAATAATTAGCGAATAAAGAAAAAAGAAGAGAAAAAGAAAAAAGAGAAAAGCAGAGCAGCAGCAGCAGCAAACAGCAATGCAGCATGCAGCCCAGCCCAGCCCAGCTAGCCGGCGGCCCAGCAGAACAGTAGCACCAGCAGCCCAGCAGCAGGCAGAGCAATAGGAATTTTTTTTTTATTTTTAATTTTTTTATTAAAAGTTTTACAAAAATAATTTTTCATTTTGAAAATTGACAGAAGTGGTCGCCTACCGCCCTCTGGGAGGGCGATTTTTAAAAATCGCCATCCCAGAGGGTGGCGAAAGTGACGTGGCAGACGGCCGTTCGCTCTCGGGTGACGGCCGTCAACGAAATTTGCAGGCGGCCCCCTTGCCGCCCTCCGCTAGGGCGATTTTGTACTGTGCGGGGGGCCGCCTGCAAATGGGCGGCGGGGGGCCTGGAATTTTGCAGGCGGCCCCCTTGCCGCCCTGGGGGAGGGCGATTTTATACTGTGCTTTATATTTTTGTATAAATATCAATAGTTATCAAATATTTTTATATTGAAAACTATACAAGATTAAAATCTCCAAGACTGGTAAAATACAATTTTATTATTTTTTAGGGCCTATTTGGAATGTTACCGTACAAATATTTTGTTAGTGCCAAAATATAAGCAAGTTTTGGCACTACCAAATTTTTGGTAAGGTAAAATTGCATTTGATCATATTTGGTTTGCTGCCAAAATGTAAAATTGTAGTGAAGAATGTTCTACATAATCTCAAATCTAGATTACGTATTACCAATGAATAGGCTTCAATCGAAATCAAACACAAGTACTATTCAAATTACCAAAATATTGGTAGGGCATGTTTTTGGTAGCAATCCAAATAGGCTCTTAGTCTTACGCATACAAAAAATCACCACCATAATTAAACATTGTAATGATAAGATAGATAAGAAGTGCCATCGATACACGGTACAAATTTGTCGATCCCGACGAATCAAGCATGCGGTAACCTATCGGCCCCTTCTAGGTCGGTCAGAATGCATTGCATTCTCGTGGTCCTTCAATCGTTGATACTCTACTTGTGTTATCTTCTGGCCATGATATGATGGAGTGACATTGTCGATCCATCGAGTAAATCCACCCATCCTTGGATTGCCCTGTAAAAATAGTAATGTTATTCAGTTTGGGTAGTAATTTTGTGCAAATCATAGCGGATTTTGTAAATGGTTAGACATACAACGAAATCGTTGTCTACATTGGGGCAGACAAAATATCTCCTTCGAAATGTTTGTTCAGCAAAGGATGTAGCCACCTGCCAGCGATCTCTGCACCCACACTTTGGACGCTCGGACCATTTAGGTAACCCTAATGGATTGTTCCTCCAGTCTAAGCTTGCAATTTCCACCCGACGTTCGTACTCCATCCAAGCATGAATGAACTGTATGGTCGGTTCAGGTTGCGTTATCGGCCCGCCACTTGAAGTAACTCTGACTGTGTCAATCCATTGTACGAATTGACATTTCCTTACATCCTCCTATGTACATCCATTTTGGGATAGTTAAGTTAATGATAGTACCGAGGAGTGATGAAAAGAATAGTTGTAATTACCACGAAATCATCGTCGACAATGTTTGGACACACGAAACACCTTTGTCCTCGAGTTCGGTGCCTTACGGACCTTATGACATGACAACGGTCACCACAACGACACTCCGGACGCTCACGCCACGTGGGGAGTCCTAGGGGATTTACGTGCCATTCTAAAGCCTCAGCAGCAATTCGACATTCATGCTCATCCTTCCGCCTTAGGTAGTCCGATCTTGTTTCACTACGTGGGTAAGCACGGGTTCCGTCGTTTTGTGGGTTCTCCATGTCTACCCACTCGATGAAGTTGCACATTGGACGATATGTCTGCGTAAGATGTTACAATTGTGTACGAAAAAGTTAGTTTTTTTATCCATTTGAACTTCGAATAGATGAAGCATACCTGATCAAAGTTCGCGCATTGGAAGAATCTCCTGCCCCGAAGAGGCCCAAGTACCGAAGATCCCGGCTGCAAATCCTGCTGGACAAGGACCATCAGTTTCATACAGGTATTTAATAGTATTAATAAAAAGTAAAGTACCGTGTGGGCGAGGGATCGACGCTCCGTGAGAGGAAGAGCTGGCGAACGCGCCCGAAGAGGTGGCGAACGCCCCTGCGGAGCTCGCGGAAGCGCCGGTCGTGCCTGCGAACGCGCTCGAAGGCAGACGAGGTCCTGCGATGAGGAAACGTGCCGTTAAAACATGGTGACATATTCGTGCAAAAGCTGAAACAAAAATGAACTAATCTCTGGGCTGAACTGTACCGTGCGAAACCGGTGCTGTAGGTCGCACTGCTCCGAAGCTAGGGGCGCTCGAAGGCAAACGAGGTCCTGCGAGGATGGAACATCAAGTTACAACGGGGTGATGTTTTCGTACAAAAACAGAAACAAAACTTAAGAAACCTCTGGGCTGAGCAGTACTGTGCGAAACAGGTACCGTAGGTCGAGGTCCTGCTCCGACGGTAGGCGCGCGAGGCCGTGGTTGTACCGGACCAGCTGGAGGTACGATGTCCACGGCGCTGCGACAGGAGAAGACGCGCATGACCGCACGCATCTTCTCCTGCATCCGGTCGAAGGTCACCCTCTGCTCAACGTCAGTCAAGTGCAAACCTCTGTTCAACCTCACTTGGACTGCGGTGATATCGGCACTGATATCCCGTGCGGCATCAGCCTATGCAAGATGGAAATAAAAAATTCAGTAGTTGTCCTATATTATGCAAGATAAATGAAATAATTGTAAGAACTAATACAAATTCGACGTACCCCCACGAAGTAGTCTCGGTCACGGTGCGTGGGATACGCGTCCGTCACAGCGGCAACGTGCGGCTCTGGGGCGTCTGGAGTGAAGGTCACACGCGCACGAGTGCGAGGAAGGTACCAGCGAAGGTAGTCACGGTAGTTCTCCTCCGTGTGTGGGAAGAGCTCGTTGATCACCTCCTCTGTAGCTAACACCCAGTCGTCAACGTACTGCTGTACACGTGGAGCCCAAAGTGCGCCTGCTAGCTGTCCCCGTCGAGTCAACCTGTGAAGAGAGGTAAATTATATGGCTCGATGAAGTAATTATCATAAAAATTTAGAAATGAACAATCCGAACTCACGAGTGGTCGGCAGGGAGGACGGTCGGCTGCACGTTGCCCGGAAACACCTGCCTAAGTCCGAACTGTCTCATCACACGCTGCGGGCAGTGAGGCTCAACGAAAATGTCGAACACCATCGGCAGGATGGTGAGCCAGTAAGCCTGGTCGCGTGTGCACAACGACGAAAGTCCTAGCGGTGCTCTTGCAGCGACGGCCTCTTCTGTGTACGGCTCCCAGATGACGTCGCTCGGCTGGAGACGGTCAAACTCGAACACGAAGTCCGGGTAACCTCGTCTCACCTGGACGTGAGCATAACGACGCTGCAATAAACATGATCGGAATTAGACATGTTATGTGAAGAAAAAAAAGAAGACGACTGATAAACTTATAACGCAGCGAAGTTGCACTAACCCCACGTCGACACCAGTAAGTCCCCATCGTGGGACCGTCCTCTGGCCACTGCGCGCTGCGACCAACCCCGTAGGGTGCGCTGTCCACCACTGGTCGACCTATGGCAAACCTCTCGGCTGCCCAAAGCTGAAGCAACATAGGGCAGCCAGCGATGATCGCTCCCGCGTCAGTCTTCGTGCACGCCTCACAGAGGGCACGGTACGTGGCTGCTAGCACGGCAGAACCCCAGCTCCACTGCGGCACGTCCTGTGGCTGAGCATCCACGATGGACCGTGCGTAGTGGACCAGCCGGAAGTCCACAGCGTGCCCGTGGGTGCTAGTGAACATCACCCACCCGAACAACCACAACAGGTACGCCTCAAGGGAGCGTCGGACCGAGTTATTATCAGCGTCAGGGTGCAGAAGGTCCGCCTACAATTAAGAATGAAATGTTAGTACAAAACACTCTGTTGATCGCAAATAAGCATGTATGATAATAACAACTTATTTACTTACAGTGAACTGGAGCAACCAAGCCTTGCTAGGCCCGACTGTAGAGTACGGAGGAAGGGTGTTGGCCGGTCCTAGGTGTGGAAGGCGCATCACCTGCTCGAAGCCAAACACTATGTTGTTATCGGCCATGGACGGACCAATTTTCTTGTATCGATCCCTAAAGTACGCTTGCGTGCCGTGAAGGATGAATTCAACAATAGCAACCAATGGAAGTACCCGAACTCCTCGCATTACCCAGTTGTACACCTCTGCCAAATTGGTTGTCATTATGCCATACCGAGATCCATCGGTGTCGAACAATAGAGACCACTTCTCCGTAGGCTCATTCTCAATCCACTGAGTGAAATTTCTGATAGACGACCCTGACCTCCTTCTCATTGTTGGTGGGTCATCATGTAATGCACCAAGAGGTATGGGAGGCTCGTCACCTTCAACTTGTGGTCTGCGAGATTGCTCATCTGTTTGCTTCGTTGTCAACTCATCCAACTTGTCCCACAACTCATTAAATTTCTTCTCTTGGTTCTTTGCACAGAGCCTCTTAAAGAGCTCCATAAGATGCTTGTTCTTGAATTGCTTGTAGAAATTTGCACCCATGTGACGCATGCACCACCGACTCCGAACATCAGGCCACTTAGCTGGAAGTCTCTTCTCATCCCAACCGTTCTGCAAGTAGTCAATAGCCCGCAACATACCCGCATGACGATCATGTATAAGGCAAACGTTGGGCCTCATACGCACCACTGCAATGTGCACTCTCTCTAGGAACCAGTACCAGCTTTCAGTGTTCTCACTCTCTACAAATGCAAAAGCCATAGGTACAACCTGGTTGTTCCCATCACACCCAATTGCTGTCAATATCTGACCTCGGTATTTACCTGTCATAAAAGTTCCATCTATGCATAGAACAGGTCGACAATGCACAAAAGCATTGATGCAAGCACCCAATGAGAAAAAGGCTCTTTGCAGCACACTCTTTGTTCGATCATCAACCGATGTAAATGTATGTAGGTCATAGTAAGTATTATTATTCCTCTGGGCAATGGTGGCTAACAAACGAGGCAAATTATCATAAGAAGCTTCAAATGTGCCATACCTCATCTCAATAATCTTTTGTTTGGCTCTGCAGGCCTTTACATAGCTTATGGTGTACTTGAATTTGTTCTCGATGTGCCTAATAATTGATTTTGGTTCAAAGCCAATGTTACCAACAACACTGCTGTACATCTCACTTGCCACAAAAGCTGAAGTGATGTTTCGGTGATACTTCTCCACCCCTTGTAAGTAGCACTTGTGCTCGGTCACAATGCTAACTTTCCAATAATCATTCCATTTACCCTTATATGCATGGACACGCCACGGACAATCTTCCTTCATGCATCTCACTTCATACACATAATTTGTTGACTTGACCACCCTAAACTCTCTCTGCAAGGAAACTGCCCAATGCTTCACCGCCTCCTTCATCTCATCCTTATGAGCATACCTTGCACCGTCAATTACCTCGTTCTCCTTATACTCCCAGGGTACATGATCACCCTCTAATATAACAAGTCCAGAAAAGTCCTCATTTGCCCAATCAGTGGCCATTACATCACCTTCCTCATCGGATGATGCGTCGTCGTCCGCTTCCTCATTATCCGAATCTTCCCTCTCCATTTCATCAACAATTATACCGACTCTCTCCCCCTCATCCGCCATGCCCATGGCCTGCTCCTCCCTTGGTTGATTTTCCTCATTTTGCATCGATGGTCCAACAACATCCCCTGCATTGATAGGACCCTCTACATCTTCGGTTTGCATTGAAACATTTATATCTTTCTCTTGTACCGACACAAATATAACGAGGGGCCATGACCGTTCAAAAGCCATTTCCACATACCGTCTCCAAGCAGCAGTGCTGTCCATCGGCATTAGTTCCCAAAAATAACCTTCTGTTGCACGACTCACTACAACTGATACTGACATTGTGTAGACTTCTTGGTCTATTCTAAATCCTCTCAACAACCAACTATAAATTGACTGAAATGTTCTCTCCGCAGGCCTATCGATGCCCTTAGATGTCATTACAAAATCTGACAGATCAACACCATCTGGACCAAATCTAATATTTCCTTCACCGTGAACTATCTGAAATGTGACCTTATTTGATATTGTGCCTGATGAAAACAATAACTGCGTTAACCTCGCATTTCTGTACTACGCCCTAAGTTACATTCTCTACAATATTGTTCTCCAAAATTCTAAAAGTAGGTTACATTCTCCAGATCAAACTAAACTACATCTTACAATTAACACTACTGTCTATGTCTCAATTCATACTATTATATTCTATGCTCTGGATCTACACATATGTGCTGTGTGCTACAGATATGCTAAAATATATGGAACTAAAACTAAAGCGCAACATATATACTCAAACATAACATATTAGTACAAATGCAAAAGATGTATGGGAGCAAACCTGTGATGAAGTGAGCGAACCAGCAGGGCTTCGCCGCTCCCCTTCTGCTGCCCTCCCCTCTCTCTCTTTTGTTTTTTTGGATTTTTAGTGAATATAATGAAATTTCAGAGAGGGGGGACTGGGCTTTATAGGGGGGAGGCAAAAATCGCCCTCCCCCAGGGCGGCAAGGGGGCCGCCTGCAAAATTCCATGCCCCCTCGCCGCCCATTTGCAGGCGGCCCCCCGCACAGTACAAAATCGCCCTAGCGGAGGGCGGCAAGGGGGCCGCCTGTAAATTTCGTTGACGGCCGTCGCCCGAGAGCGAACGGCCGTCTGCCACGTCATTTTCGCCGCCCTCTGGGATGGCGATTTTTAAAAATCGCCCTCCCAGAGAGCGGTAGGCGACTACTTCCGTCAATTTTCAAAATGGAAAATTATTTTTGTAAAACTTTTAATAAAAAAAATTAAAAATAAAAAAAATTCGAGCAATAGCAGGAGCAGCAGCCCTGCACAGTACCAGCGTGGTACTGTAGCATCGCGTTACTGTAGCAATTTAGTTCCTCACTAGTCAGCTAGAGCACACCAGCTTGTAAGGATAAAAGCGACGATGCAAAACGCAAGAGAGTTATAGATGCGGTCCAGCTGGATCCAATATCGTTTTTTTTGGGTCTGTGTGCTACACACCGCTTTAATTATAAATACATGTTGTAAATGTACATATGTCTTTTTGCCGACTTGGTATTTAAAAGATATGAGAGATTTTAGGGCTCTTAAGATGTACTTTTGTTTTTATGTATGAGGAGGTACCAAATTTACACTATATTTTTTTATCCCGATACATACCTCTTCCTTAAGGTCTGTAATATCACTTAAAAAGTAGTTAGTGTTTTACGAATACATGCACCCCTTTTACTTTGAAGGAGACTAGAAAACAATATACCGTTGCAACGGAATAGCTGACATCTACATGATATCATAGGTATCGGATTGGATACCTTCGATTCCAAACATGAAACCACGTTAATACCGTGCTAACATCATGACGATGTTAGCATTATACCGTAGGTATCGGATTTGTTATCTTCGGTACTAAACATATTACTCCGTAGGTACCAGATTTGGCATTTAGTTATCATGTGGACGTCAGCATGGTACCATAGGTACCAGATATGGTACCTCTAAGTACTGTGGACTTCAGCATGGTACCGTAGGTATGTACCGGAACTGGCATCTTATTATAAGTGTCAGATTTGGTACATCTCGTACCAGATATGATACCCCGTACGTACCAGATCTGGTGCTTAGGTACCATGATGATATCATCATGACACCAGTTATTCCATTGGAACGGTATTAGGTAATACCGTTTTGTAGTATTTCTATTTTACTTTCTACACACTAATTAAGTTCAGCCAAATCCAGCCAACAGCCAACGCCCAACAGTGCTGATCATAGTAACATATATCTCCTAATTCCAACTTCCGAATAATCCCAAAACAAATAGCATGCACACATGATACTGATGTACCTCATATATATATATATATATATATATATATATATATATATATATATATATATATATATATAACATGTACGTACAACTAATGAGATACACATATGAATAATAACATTCCATGACAAACCATGAAGTTTATTCGACAAAACATATGTATATATATGGCCGGCCCAAAGTAGTATATTATATGTAGCAAACTAATTAACATATCGAAATATATCTCGATGAAGAGGCAATTTAATGACCACATATATATATGCAAGACATATATATTGATCACATATTTGCATGCATGGATTATGGATATGAGATGCATGCATGCAGCTATATATATATAGTTAGTTAGGTATTTCCTTGGCGTGAGGCTTAGCCATGGTTGGGGTAGGGTCGTAGGTCCCGTAGTCGTTCGTCTTCACCTGCCTCAGAATTCTCTCGTGGACCATCGCCAGCATTTCGTCGTCTTCCTGCCCTTGATGCATGGATTCATCATCAGACGTCTCCTGCATTAATTTCCATGCATACATGCATGCACGCACACATTGAATTAGCTATCAAATATAGATTAAGACATTAACAGGACAGTAATTTAATTAATTTTCTTATAACTCATATATATATTGATATTCTTCTTTCTATGTAAATATGATTACTATTAGTTAGGGTTATATCAATTTAATTTATATGTATGGTAATGCAAAAATGCATTTGTGTGCATATGAAAGCATGTATATTTTGTTTTCCTTGACAATGCCTGTACTCACTGAACATTAATCATCATGCCAATCATGGGCACATGCAATTTGCCTATATTACGTTCATACAGATTTCTACAGCAACACGTGGGATATTAATTACTAAGTAGTTAATTAATTAATTTAACAGTAGGAATCATTTTATCCCAAGTTTAACATGTATACCACTTTACAATAAATCATTTAAACATGGAAAATGGTAGGCCTTAAACTAAAAATTTGCATGATAGAGTGCATTGGAACATTATCTTAGAAAAAGTGCATTGGAACATTTTGCAAATAGTAGTACTACTCAGGTTGACACAACAATATATATAACTGGTTCACTTTAATTAAGTGAGCTATTTCAGGGTGTATATATGTACTCCTAAAGTTCGAATTAATATGACCCCTAACTAGATATATCTATGAACGAACGGTTCGACCTAATTAATCCACATAACATATTGTATAGCTCTAATACCCACGCACTTCTTGGTCTAATCACCTTGAGCGATCCACATGCAAGTTTCTTTGATATCAGGCCTTATATATACTACGAACCAATGCAAAATGTTTGCCTATCTTGTTAGTGACAAACATAGTCAGTAATAACATCTATATTGAGATTATATGCACTCATCATATCTATCGACAGCTAGGCTATATATATTTTTCCAATAGCTGCTGGTAACTAAATGCATGTAAGGTTAATTTCCATAACATCTCTTTTTGAAGAAGTAATTAATATAGGCCATCAAGGGGATGTAAAGCCCTGTACTGAATTCACCGTGTATATGGTTGTACTTAAAAATAAGACTAGTAGTGTATAGGCACTTTGGTTTGCCGGGACCCAGCAGTATGTTCTTTTTACTTGATGCTTTAGACACATCGGCATATAGTATAAGTTTCCAAATGCACATATTTTATAATTACTTTCTTTAATTATATTTTTTTTTCAAAATATAACTGGATGCATATGAAACTGTGTTTCCTTAATTTTCATAACAAATCTACTCATTTATCAATCATTTTCATATATCGAACTATAATACACTTGTATCCTCTAAGGATTTACGAATTCATGGTTTGACTGCACGCATTTTAGAATGAGAACAAAGGGAGTAGTATATATTATATACATTTGTGGGGGTATATTTGTATGTGAATATTACCCTATATGGAAGTAGACCTAGCTGTATGACAATTGACATGACAGCAAAGACTTGTTTTGAATGAGGTGTAGTTTCTAACTTGTAAAACAAAACTAATTGTCCTATCAGGATTAATCCATCGAACATGAATATAATGGTCAAACAAAACCTGTACGTTCTCTCGGTTGGAAAAATAATGCATATTGTACTTAGTCAACGTGTGCTGCATGTTCTATAGCCGTATGCATGCATATGCTTCTGAAATCAAGGTCAGATAGGTTCTGAAGGCACGTAAGAATCAAAGCCTTAATGGTATATTCAGCAAATTTTCCGGTCGCTTCAGTACAATGGAAGACTAACAGTATACAACTTTGTTTCTTTAGATAATAACAATAAAACTTTGTTAGATTTATAGATCATGCATCGTAATTTTGTTAGATATATTAATTAATAGAAATATAAAGTCATAGACATACCATTGATTGCACTTGATGCTTGTTGATCAACATCTTCCTCCCTCCTGCGTCAAAAAAACCCCAGAAAATCACTAAAAGAAACTGAAATCGGCAAACACGCAAAATTTTTTTTTGCAGTTTCTTCTTGCATATACTAACAATCAAAATAACATGAAAAGTAACAAGATCTGAACATATATTAACCTAGCTAGCCAGCTAGATGATCGGTGTTATATAGCTTCTGTTGAAGTAAAGGCTGGGTTATATATCCATTATCTTTAAAAAGAAAAAAAAAGCTAGATAGATGGTTAACCTGCTGCCATGGAGGTCAGGAGGAGCAAAGCGAAGACGACGACGACGAGGAGAAAGCTAGACCTCTTGACGGCTCCCATGGCGTGGCCACCAGAGAGCAAGGTCACCTAGGTTTCCTCCTCTTGAAGATCGAGAGATCTCAGGAGAAGGAGACGAAGCAGCAGATGTGGCTGGAGATGAGGAGTAGGGAGAGAGAGAGATGACTGTGCCTTTCCTTTCCTTGGTTTGGACACAAAGGAACCAACCTGCAGATGTGAGTTGTCTGCAGCAACAACAAAGAAGCAGAGCCAGAGAATTGCTGCAAATTGTTAGTACTATTATTTAATTCTTCTTCCAATATTCTCTTCTTTCTATCTCTCCTTCTCTTGTTCAGAGATGGAATGATATGAGATGAGATGATATGATATGCATGATGGGGATGTGTGAATCTCAGTAGTGGAGTCCCTGCTTGCCTAGTGCAGGTTTGCCTGGTGTTTATTTATTTTTAATTATCAAAAGCTAGGCAGGATTAAAGGGAATGGTCAGTGCTTTGAATTGGCCTATGGAATTCTTTTTTTTCTTCTTCAGAGCTGGCCCTGTCATCATTAGGCTTGCTGGTGTGGTGCAGCATGTTTAGCTTAATTAGCTAGCCCCATAAGCCAAAGCAACTAATACTGTGGCTTGTACGGCTACATGCATGCATGCAGGTATAGTAGTCCCCCCCATAATTGAATAGTTAATCTAAGCTGATATACTAATCTGCTGTCTAGCTTGGAGTGTAATCATGGCATGCTGTATTTTAGAAAAAAAAGGAAAATGCCCTGCAAGCAATGTAATTGTGGCTAGTGGTTGCTCATCACATCATATATTCTTGTCATATCATTCTTGTGTGTGCAGGTGGGTGCAAATTACAACAAGAGATTACGATTAATATAGTGAAATAAATCTGTTAGAAATTAAATAATTTTGTGTCTATGGTTGTAATATGGTTGGACAAGAGTGGCCATTGTTCAGAGATCTCTGTAAGGGTGTTTGATGGCCATATAGTACATGGGGCAGACATGCATGCAACATGGTGAGCATCAAAACTCAAAAGTTTACTTGACTGTTAGCTACCTTGAGGTAGAAACTATGATGAGCTATGAGGGGGGTTCGAAGTAAAGCCTGACTAATCACTTTTCAGGCATGCAAGGGCATGGAATTATGGTATCTCTAATTCAGTTACATTTTTTTTTCACAGCATACTTTTCCAGCTACTTTTAGTCATAGTTCAGCATAGTTTATTTTTGGAGTGCACACAATTATATGCAAATATGACAGTGTTAAGAAAAAAATATTCAGCTATAGCTAGTTAGGGGTCAACATTATGGGCAATGAAATAAAGTATTTAAAACAAAAAGACGACTTTACATAAATTAAAACAAGGTGATCAAAGGAGGGTGGCCGCCTTGTTAGTGGGGAACTGCTTTTCCAGCTTGGGAATATTGTGTTTCTCTAGCTAAGTTAGGAATAGTGTTGAAAGGACAATTGGAGCTAACACTAGTGGAGAATAAAGACACCATGCATCATGGCTGAACCTTTCCTTTTTGAAGATGATAAAAGTATATACTAGTAGTAGTCTGTCTAGGTTTAATACACACATCTCTATCCTATCTCTGATCGAACTGCAGATGATATGATGCAGATGCAGGCCAATTTGCTTTAAAGCTGAATGTTGCTAACTTCCTCTCTGAATCTCTGATCAGTATGATATTTCAGAAAGCTTGCAATTGCTGTCACAGTTCTATACTTTTGACCATACTTAATTACCATGAGGATTGCTCATGATAAGTATAAAATTAATGTTGGTAATTTGTTGTAATATAATGTTGGTACAGATGCATTTCATTTGCGCAAGTGCTTGCTTGAGAAATGGGGAAACCAATCTGGCTAGTCTCACACATATGGTGTATATGTTTATTCAATTGATTGGTACTAAGTACGATTCAGATGATGAAAGGATTTGAAATTCAGTCGACTTGTGGATGATGACCTGTCAGGTTTCAGATAAATTACATTTTTCAGTATGGTTCGTTATGGACAAACAGAATAATAATGTTGTCGTTCTTTGGACGGCAAGGTTACCCATGCGCGTTTTTATCTTGTTAATTTTCTTCTCTTTCTTGGTTGCCTCCAACGAAATAGTCATAGCAGAACTTCTGCAGATTGGATTAATTTGAATCGTCGGTGTGGCTGACCCCTCTCTGAATCCAAATTAAACGAGCAAATTAAGGAGAAACCTGACAGAAAAAATCCAAGTGTTTGTTCTGACGGTGGGAAGGCCATGATGGAGCTATACACTAGTGGTGGCCAGTGGGCACTAGTGCTTGGTACATATGTTGGGACAAGGTGTGCCTATACGCTACTACGAAAACAATTTTTGCAGGTGACCAAAACAAGTTTTCATAGATGGCCGGAAACTTAGGGACTGATTTAATATATGTATAAAAGAATTTAGGATGTGTTTTGGATAATGGGCTATAAAGGGTGGGATTAGGAAATGGAAATGAATGGAAGATTGGGATGAAATGAGATGAGATGAATGTATGACTAAGGTTAAAAGTTATACTTTGGAGGGTGGGATAACATTTCCCTAACCCATTTTCCAAACATACCCATAGGTGAGTGATAAGGTTGACATTGTTGCAATATGAATAGAAAAACAACGAAAAAGGACTATGGGTCGGAACAAATGTTAAATATTCATAGTGTTGTACATATATAGACAAACATATTTTTCCATATATCGCCATTACCAACATTGAATATGGAAAAAAGAACAAAAAAAAATGGTGGGGGGGGGGGGGGGCGGCAGACATATATATGAGCAAGCATGCACCAGAAAACATGTATAATCCAAATACTTCTACAACAAAACAACATCAGGAAAAACTTTCAGGAAAATTAAAGAAAGCAGTTTCAGGAACAAGAAAATGCATACAGTAATAACGGTGAGAAGAATAAATACATATGTATCGTCAGCTTGATCAGAACATCAGATCTTATTGATCTCCAGGCGGCGGCTGCTCAAGACGACATTAAGGCCTCTGACAGACACACTGAACTGCTCGATCTCGGCAAAATTTAGCAGTTATATATTAGAAGGATAATAAACTCGATCGATCAGACATGGTATATATATGGGCAGCACTAACATATATATCGCTGGGCATGCAGATAAGTACGCATATGGATCGTGAGAGCAAAAGTAGGGTTCGAAAACATTCGACATCATCGCAAAGAAAGGACGGCCACAGCAGCTGATCATAAACTGCACAAGAAACGGAGAGACGACGACACTTGTGCTGTTGTGCATGCACGCACTGTCGGACCATTTCCGCTAGGACGTGATTAATTTCATTTTTTTCCTTTTCTTTTTTTCATTTTTTTGCATATATAGAAGACACATCTGCGAGTTTGTCTCTAACGCACGATTAAGGAAACGAAGTCAGTGACAAATCTTCGACCCCCCTGAATTTATGTTAAAAGCAAATTTGTTATTTGTTTGTACGTACGTAATGTTGATGTGGGTGGATATCAACATTTTAATTAACTTTAGGCAGATAAAGTGATCCATTCACGACTCTCTGTAAGACTACTATCACTGTACATTTGGTGGAAAGTAGTGTTTGGTTGGGCAAATTACAACGTACCCATGTCATATTTAAATATAAATATATAACATCATTGATTTTTTAAGAAAAAAACTTTCACTAACTTTATTTAGTTAGTTAAATAAAGTGAAAAGAGTAGCACTAAATATGTTAATTAAAAAATACTTTTAGTGTGTCTTATATATTTGTTTATCTGTTTTCACAGATTTTTTTTTTAAAAAAATAGTGAAACGAATTAAGAAAAAGTTAATGGTGTAATATGTTTAAAACAATAGGTAGCAATGAATAGCATAGCGCACGCCAAATTTCAAACTATTCTATGGAAATAAACAATTCAACCCAGACACCCATAGCCAATCAACGTAGAAATGTAGAATCACTGCGTTCGTAAAAAAAAGTATGCGGCACAAGAGATGTGATTTCGTCAAGAAAAAAAAAGACATTTCACATGGCTTATTTAGTCCTTTGTATAATTAGTGCTTGGTAAGTAAGGTTGGACCTAGTAAAAATAGGTCTTTGTTATCAAAACTTTCACAATATATATGAGTTAATAATAAGGTAGGTCCCATGAACATAAAAGATTTAACAGTGTTCAATGGAGACAGAAATTCGGAGAGAATCAACACATAGATGAGAAAAATAATGTTTTTTAATTTCTTACTATCAGGTTACAGTGTTATTGCCGGGTAGCAGTTGTTTATTACTTCCACGATGTTTACTACTCCCTCTTTTTTATATTACAAGTCATTTTGACTTTTTCCCTAGTTTATAGAAAAATTTGTAATATTTTTAACACAAAACAAACATATTATCAAAATATATTAAATGTTAGTTTTAATGAAACTAATTTTGTGTTGTAAATATTATTATTTTTCTATATATTTAGTTAAATAGAAAAAAAAATCAAAATGTCTTATAATGTGAAACATATGAAGTACCTAATGTAAGGGTTGCATTTGTTGTTACTACCTTGTTTTGGAGCACAATGCGGATGCTCACAAGAATTTTCTTTTTATATAATGGAACAAAATCCTAGCCTTTGCTCAAGGAGCTACAACCAATTATTACACAAATTCACATAAACTAGCACATAAAAACAAGCCTTAAAAAAACACACCAGCAAGGCTAAAGAAAACACAAGCTAATAAATATCTACACAAAACAAAGACCTATTGATTATTGAATCCTATTAGTGAATTTTCAACCAAAGTTGGCAAAAAGCTACATAACCGTTGTCGCAAGTAGTCAAAATGCATATTTTATTAGCTTGCTGTCCTCATCACACCTTTATAGTTGAGCCCAAGATAGGAGCCAGTACATTGCCCTGAAAAGGACCTGCATATAAGATACAGACGGAGATTTGTCAAAACCATATTATTTCTACTCAACCATAGAGCCCTATATATAGCGGATGCTCCTACAAGAATGAGTTTTTTTTTCCTTTATCATTACCCACAAGCCAATTCCCAAAGATATGAGAAATATTGTGTGGAGAATATAAACCAAAAGAAATTTGTAAAGCTCTCCATAGAAACTTTGCATAATGGTATTCCAAAAATAAATATTGAATAGTCTCATCTTTTATTAAAAAACAGCATCTCAAACTACTATTCCAATTTCTCCTAGCCAAATTATCTTTTGTTAAAACAACCCCTTCAAGTAAGTACCACATAAAAACTTTAATCTTGAGAGACATATTAAGTTTTCAAATGTTCTTATTCCTCTCAATGTAACCATTGTTAATTAAAGCTGATACATAGAACGAACATAGAATTGACCATTTTGATGAAGATTCCATCGGAATATATCACTTTCCTTTGTCAAATGGATATGCACAATTGAAGCACACAAATTATGCCAATTAATCAGATTCTGACCTACTAAAACTCTCGTAAAAGAAACATTTAGTGGAACAGTACTCATGACATATGCAATCGAAAAGTTTCTCTTTCTAACTATTGAATACAAAGACGGATACCTATCCTTAAAGGAATAATATACTAGCCATTTATCCTCCCAAAATCTGACTTGCTCACCATTATTAATAGTCCAGGAACCCAGATTTAAGAAAGTATTCTTAACTTTTATGAGGCCTGACAAAAAAAGAAAATCCCATGTTTCTTCTGAACTTGATTTATTGTTTGATTATTAAGGTATTTTCTTTTTAATAAGTCTTGTCAAACGCCTAGCTCATTTATCAATTTAGACAACCATTTACTCAATAAACATTGGTTTTGGATTTCTAAATTCTGAATTCCAAGTCCACCCTGATCTTTCAGTTGACAAATAATATCCCATATTTCAAGTCTATACTTTTTTTAATGATCACCGTCTTGTTAAAAGAAACAAGATCTATAATAATAATCAATTTTTTTAAAGAACTCTTTTTGGATCTCAAGAAAAATATGATTTCTCCAAGTATAGGCTAGTAAACTTGATCTAGAATAAAGCCTCAACCATGTTGTCCGAGTTTACACCACCTTTAACTAGCAAAAGGCGGTTAAAATACAACGATATTGGAAGGCGGTTGGTGTAGTGGATTGATGAGGAGACATCGTTTTGGATAGTGGAGGAGTGACATGGCGGAGGATCGATGTACTTCTAACAGACATACGTACATACGAACGTGGGTGGTAGAGGACGTCGGCCGACGGCCGTGGAATATTGGAACGGTGGAAGCATCATATACGATCGATGGCTTCCAGGTTGGTTGGTTGGTGAGGTCGCATCGCAACGCAACGCAACGATCGCCTGGGCCAGCGCTGGCGTGATCATCGAACACCGGCCTCGTCGTCGGGTCGATCGGTTGGAACGTACGGTCCTTGAAGAAGCAGACGATCGATGGGGGATGGCGTACGGAGACCGTCGTCTTCCTCCTCGCTCCGTTCGCAGCGCCGAGGACGGGACAGCCTGTGTCCTTTGCGGCGGCGGCGGCGAGTCGGCGATGGCGTCCAGTCCAGCTTGCGCCCCTGAGGGCTGAGGCCCCGATCGACCTCAGCCTGTGCGCCATGGCGAGGGGGCGGGGCGCGAATTGCTAGCTGGGCCGCCACTCCCACACACCCCGAGACGCTGCGACGTCGGCGTCACGGGCGACATTCTTGATCCTGTGGACGGACGGAGCCAGTCGACGCCGGCGCGCGACGCGGATGGTGGCGAACTCAGGCCCAATGGGCCTGAAGAGCACGCCCCAGGAGCCGAGGTTGGGCCCAGCAGCTGCCTCACGATGCTCGAGGCTAGCCCCCCTCAGCCATCGCTCGCTCGCTCTCGTCAATTTCTCGTGGATCACCAAATACTAATACACAAATAGAAAATTATGTTTATCGACTTAGCATTTGATTTGACACCATTATATTTGCTTAATGACCCGAAGACAAGTTACTGATGACATTATATAGCATCTGTTAACACTTGACAGGATAGTACAACGGAAATAAACAAAAGAAAAGAAACAAGTGCACATTTTTTCCTTTTTTGCTGTAAACAAAAGAAAAGAAACATGTGCACATTTTCCTGCTTTGCTTGCGTTACATGATAAGACCAAAATATTATTACCTCCGATTTGCCTGATCAGGCATAAATTATGAAAAATAAAAAAAGAAGAGGGTACTTTTAGATGTCACAGATACAAAGAACCCTCAGGTAACCACAGCATGAAACTAAATATATCCTCTCTCATCAGCACACGACATATTGTTCGTGCAGAACGGGCATTGCATAAAAAAAATTTTACCCTCATTGAGTGATATGCAAGCCTAAGAGCAATAGTAATAGTAAGTTAGTAACAGTACTAAATGCAATGCAGAAATGGAGAGCTAGCTCAACCAGGAAGATATGATGCACGCTAACAACGCTAATCACCAGCTTATACCACCCCCCACGAACAATATACTGCTTATTATTCCTCGACAAGAAAAGTCCCAAACAAATCAATCCTCACCACTGAATTCAGAAAAAAAAGAAAGAAAGAAAAAGGAGAAATAACATTATTATCCCCACCAATACTGCGTGATCTGCACAGCCACACACCACATAACAAACCTAGAGGAGGCATAACAGCAGTAACGGCCATGGTCGAGCACCTCAAAGCTAAATCATCTCTGACTGGACTCCACTGTGCGCACGTTCGCGCCCGTCATCCCTTCCAGCCTGTCCTTCATTATATCTACAAAGTGGCCAACCATTTCATGGAATTGCTTCAACCCGGAGAGTGGCAAGATTATCGACGAACGATCAGCTCCAGCAACCTGCAGTTTGACAGGTCGTAAGAACAAAGCCCTTGCGTTCTTACAGGTTTGAGATAGCACGAAGTTACGGACAAATAGTAGGATACCTCAGAAATCCTCAGGTAATGACCCCTGTTGTTGCTTCCAAGGTCAAAGAAGAACCTCTTTTGATCTGCCCTTATGACCTTAGACATGCCCATGCCACTAATTTCTTCCTGAGGAGGCAAATCAACCAGGCGTTCAACATCTACCTCTGGTCCAGAAGCAGATTGACTTCCATGTCCAGC